AAATCAAGATTGAACAAGTTCAGTCCATATGAGTTTGGATTTGTCACTAACCTTGTCTTGTGAATATGGTTATGACAGATTCACATGGATAGGAACACATACACCATAAAATCTAAGTGATAAGGTTTCTCTCCACTTCATGAAAATGATTTTGAGGAAACGCTTCCACTAGGAAGATTTTAAGGAGATAGCGATTGTGTAAATTGCATTCTCAAATTCGATTATGATTACGGCATCCCTCTTCATAGTTCGAATTGTGAGATTTGGCAATTAGTTTGAACAATTAAGACTTATGTTTGTAAGTATGAAATTGTTTAGACACACATATGAGCTATCTAAGGAAAGGTGTATGAGTTTGAGAAGCTTAGATAAAGGCTTATCATAGCATCTCGTATCATAAATATAAACTTTCGTTAAGGAAATCAATAAGTATTGATTTCTAGAAGTCCAGCTGTCTTCTGAGTACATGTCAAAGCTAGTGGGAGCATAAGTGTTATGCTAGTAAAGTAATAATTATCATGTTAGTGGGAGCATGATTATTCTATTGTAAATTAGCAATATTAATTATAGAAAACAAATGTTTCACTTTGCAAAGTTGCAGGGGTTGAAAGGTTGTTTTGCTAAAATTAAGGGAGAGAATATTATACGTCGTTTCAAATCTAAAAGTTTAGATCGAGAAATTTTAATCAAATTTAGTCTATATTTATATATATATATATATATATATATATATATATATATATATATATATATGGATGTTATGTTGAAAAGATTCAACATAAAGGAATTCTATATATGGCAATATTATAGCAAGAAACTGGTAAAGTATCACGTTTTTCATTATGAATCGTGTCCCATACGTTTCGGGTATAGGATCGATTGCATATGCTATAATATTCGAACGTTCTAAATTTTCCAAATGCGTAGGGCATTAAGAGGGAAAAAGGACTAGAACCGGATTTGACTAAAATAATTAAACAACTGTCAAGGACGATCTAAGGTTCGCCAAGGATTGGTCACTTGTGGGCAGTTGGAAGTATAGTAACGAATGGACCGTAATGACATTATTATGATTAGATATGATTCTATTAATAATGAGTTGGCGTATGGAAAATATGGAAATGTTTCCATATTGGGAGTTGGACGTTAAGAATCTATGTCTAGATAAGAAACTTTTATGCAAGAAGGATGTTCAAAGGAATGTACTTTAAATGTGAGACTTCATAGAGTACTTTGTAATATCATTGGCAAAGTCTTTGTGACTTTGGTCCTATGACATTACAAAAGGATCATTATGTAAAATGTTAGAATCTAACACATTCTAATAGTGGCAAGAATTTGATATTCTTACACTTATGATAAGGATTAGGAGTTGTGAAATGAATATCGTTGGAAATGTGTTCAATTGATCTATTTCACAAACTATGGACCATAGGTAAACATAGTGTGCATGCTTAGAGCATGAGACAACTGTTGTTATAATTCAAGTAATAAGTTGATTATCCGAAACATTATACAATGAATAATGTGTAATCGATATGGTGATTTAATAAAAGGTGTTTTATTTATACTCAAAAGTTTGAGACCATATTGGATTCGATTATTCTTGTGTTTCACTTTGCATGTTTTGACTTCCTGAATAATATGATTATTCAAACCATCCACAGTCGATAAATACTTTGGAAGTAGGTATTGAAGCTAGACTGTCATGAATCCGACTGTAGATTGTCTAAAGCGTTTAGACATAGCAAAAGTCTGCTGCAGTGTTCATGAATACTCCTGAAATAAGATTTGAGTATTGGATTAAACCCACGCTCACTTGAATCACTTCATGGATTTTATCACGAGTGATTAGTGAGACGATAATATCTTATATTCTTGAAACCGAGATATGTGAGTTGTAATTTACAAGTCGGTTGCACATTGATAATATGTAAACGCACCAGTAACTTGGTGTTATAAAACATATTGTTGTGTGTGATTTGATGAGTAGGTACAAGCGAACATTTGAGTCGAAGTTTATCCGTTCCTTTTACCCTAAGAGGGATAAAAGCGATATTTGTGGGCCCCTCGATGACTTAGTGATGACACCCTAAGCGCTTGGCCAAGCCGGGACTAAGTTGATGTGTTCAATTGTAGTTTGTTGTCAGTCGTCATAAATCAGAAATAGGGAAACAACACATGAACATAGAGTATGATTAAATCCATGTCTCAGTTCTTACGACATCTAGAATGGAGGAATATATGATCCCTTATCTAAATGACGCGTTACTGATAAGATCAGAGTTGACAGCGGCTTTTGAAAGCTACGATTGTTGATCAGGTTCTGTAGTCGTATTTGCAAAATAGTTATTAGACTTATCCAAGTGGGAGACTGTTGGATTAGGTGTCTAAGCCCATAACTATTTTGGTATGTACTTGACCCGATTATAAGCATGGTCCTTTTGGGTTGCCTTCACTCATGCAACTTGATAGGATGACAAGAGGAGAGAGAGTAGAATTTATTATATGAATAATAAATTGGTACTTGAAAATGGTTTTATTAATATATTACAAGTTTAATATATTATTTGGAAATCATATTATTTAATTAGTATTGATCAGAAATTAATTTGGTGATCAAAAGAGACTGATTAAATAAAGGGGACTGATATTGCAATTAACTGTTAGTTGCTAGTTGGGCTGATGGACTCCATAGAGTGGAGTGGACGAAATTTATGGGGAAGCCCATAAGATTTCGTCCAAAGAGCTCTAAGGAAGGAATCCATAGGCTGCTTAGGCCTTAAGCAGGAATTAGGGTTTCCTTCAGAAACCCTAGCAGCCCACACAACTATATAAGGAACCCTTTACATAGGATTTTTGGCCCCTATGAGTTCTATGAGAAACCCTAGCCGAAATCCTTCCCTCTCCTAGTCATCTTGTTGCATTGAGTGTTTGTGACTCTATTAGAGGTGCAACATTTGAGGCACTAGGCTTTCAGAAGTCAAGAACAAGAAGGATTGTGATTGTTATTGCTACATAACAATCAAGGTAAACTTTCTAACCCTAATCATATGTGTTTTTTTTCAAATTTGTATGCTAGTTAATTAGGGTTTATTGCTTTGGTATTAAATGTTGTATGTTTACTTAGAAAAACCTAGATCAAAGCAATTAGGGTTGTATTTACACCATATGAATGATGTTATGCTCCTAATCCATCAATCTTGATGGTGGATACTTGTATAGAACATCACACTCTTTGATTTTTCTATCTTTATCAACACCCCAAAATCAAGTGTGTTCAAATGCTCTAAATGTTATCATTCTAAAACAATCTATGATTGTTTTTAACATCATTCTAACCTCTATATATGGATCCTATATGGTTTGGTTTTGTTATAAGGTAGAAAATAAACTTGTTATTTTTAATGCTTCCATTGCCGGTTTTTATGAAAAACTAACTTATATTTTGTATCAAAACTCATCATTTGCTTTAACAACTAGACTGAACTTGTCGCAATCGATGTCTGGCCAATGATTATCTCCACTTACAATTAGTGATTCTTTGTATCTTGCATGTGACCCATTCATATTGGGTTTGTGCTTAAACCACATGAAACGAACAATGTACATCCCTTTAGGATGAAGAACGATAACCTTAGTACCAATAGAAATAAGTGCATGAAGCCTATTAGAATCTTATAAGGCCTATAAATACAAATAAAGAACTTGGAATATGATAGTTTGTGTGGACCCATAGGCATTGGATGGGTTTGACGTGACATGTCATACATGCATCATCATGGTGTAGTGGGTCGTTAGTTAAATCATGATGGGAGGTTGTATATGATTATGTTGTAGAGACGGAGGGCATGGGTATTTAGGCCGAGGAAAGTCAGTCGGGAATGGGGCTGCTTGGATCAGGTTAGGGACATAGTTAAAATAATCATTGCATAATCTTTAGTGGTAGGGTTAAGGATTTTTAGCTATAAGCTTGAGTTGGAAGGCTTCTAGTGAAAGAGATAGATGTGTGAGTCAAAATAAGAATGTGAAAGGCTAAGTTTACCTGTAACCAACAATGATGATTAGCGGTGGTGTGACGCTAATCACAAATGATAGGGATGTGGGTGTGGTTTTTATTCGGTGAATGATAAAGTGGGGACGATGCACACATGCATGAAAGGGAGGGACAATCGGACATGAGAGGCGGGAGGTTTTTTCTGATTGGATCTCAATAGAAAGGTTAGGTTGGGATGGAGGAATTGTTATTAAAAAAAACAAAATAACAAAAAGAGAAAAAAAAACATGACAACATTTTATATGTGCTTATAACAATCCTTTACTAACACGGTTAGTAGAGAGACCGCTACCATAACAAAAACAATGTTATAGACAAGTTTAAAGTAAAACTGAAACTCGAACCAACCATACATATATATACATATACTATAAATATCATTTTCTAAGTTTTATCTAATGCACATCTATCCAGATAGTCGCTACAAGAAACGGTGAATCAAATATTCATCGTTTAATAGAGAACCAATGTTCTTACACAAATGGTGGAAAGACGTTATTATTGATAGATATTTCCTCTTTTTTTTTTTAAATTGAACTATTGATCACAATAAAATGAATGAACAAAGCTGGACTATTAAACATTTTTGTATGATGACTCTAAAATATATATATTTATGTAGTTTTCAATAGAGTTACTTTTGTTATGGAAAGGTTTTTCATTTGCCTTCTAACTCAAGTTAATATTAATCTTTGACTAAGGTTTCAAATATAGTTATTGGATTCGGTTGACATAAATTTATTTATCAAGGGCCAAAGTAGCAGTATAAACATAAACTAAAGTACTAAAACCGAAATTAACTAGTTAATAACAAAAAGAGAGTGCATTGCTAATACTAAAGCTGCGGAACCACCCAACCAGAACCCCTTTCAGTTACACTAGCCACGTTGCAGCTTCAGCTGCACTCCCTCCACCTATATATACTTCACCTTACCCCTTTCATCTGCTCAACTCAATTCATTCATTATCCATTACTTTCTCTCTCCACAACTCATTGGAGATTTGCTTCTTTCTCACATACTCAAGCAGAAAAAACACACACTAATCAGAACCAGATCAGTACTCGAATATATGGATTATGACTCGTCCGTATAGATTTCTATCAACTGCTGTCAACTCATCGTCGAAGGCGGCGGCAGAATCACCGGAGGCAGTCTCCGTGGAGTCAGATTTCGTCGTCATCTTCGCTGCTCTACTATGTGCTCTGGTTTGTATCGTAGGTTTGATAGTCGTAGCTCGATGCGCTTGGCTCAGACGCAGATCTCTTGCTAATAGCTTACCTGGCCAACAATCTGCTAATAAAGGAATTAAGAAGAAGTTCATTGACGCGCTTCCGAAATTCAAGTACGATTCAGCCAAGGACGACAACGGCGGAAAGCTTTCCTCCGGTGATTGTGCGTGTGCGATTTGTTTGACGGAGTACGCAGATGGAGATGAGATCAGAGTGCTCCCGCAGTGCGGACATGGATTTCACGTCGGATGTATCGACAAGTGGCTTGGATCTCACTCGTCTTGCCCGTCGTGTAGACAGATTCTGGTGATTAGTAGGTGTAAGAAGTGCGGCGAGTTCCCGTCGATTTCCGCCGGAAAAATCTCGTTGGTGGTTGATCATGGAGGTAGGCATCATAACGATAGTTCTAGTTCATCAAGTTGACATCGATCAAACGAGATAATTTAATAATTTAGAAGTTAATTAATTACCAATGATATGATGCTTAAGTTATTCTGACAATCACAGAGTTTCTCTTGCAAAATGATTCTCAAATTGCTAATGGAGATGTGGATGGTGTTGTTTTTGTCTTGTAGCTTTGCATTTGAAACTTGAAAATAGCGAAATATGTTATTTTATTTCAATGGATGTGAAGTGAAGTCTCTACCTTATCTTAATTCTTATCTCATTGGATCTTGATAGCTTTTGGCTTATCAATTACCATATAAAATAGTTGATGAACACAATTTACAACGATGGTTGTTGTCTTTCTCTTTTGTTGTGAACTATACTTTTATTATTCGTTTTGATTTGGATTTTAGGGAAGTTGAGGTTCAATTCAAGAATTTGATTCAGAAGTGAATTCTTTTCAGAATTTGATTGCGATGTTATAACTTATAAGTTCAGTGGCGTATACATTCTAAAACCTTAATGACATAATTTTGGGAAATGTCCAAAAGTTTAAGGTGCTTTAATTATGGATAATATATACAATTAGAGGATAAACGAGGGATTTTATAATTAATAATTAATATTGATAATTATTAATATTAATAATTAGTTATAAGATAAACAAAGAAGATGCAAACGAGAGCAAGTAACCATAAGCCGTCTTGTCGGCTATTTAATAGGTGGTTGAGAGTTCGTTAGGCGTCATGCCAATACATAAATACCTTGTGTGATTATTCCTTCATGGATTTTATTTATAATGAAATTTGAACTCTAATGTGTAAGAATTTTAGCGTTTGATTTTTGCTCTTAAAAATGATATTTGAATGGACAGTTTGATCGGATCCTTTCAAAGAGTTTCACTTCAGTTTTAAAACATAGATAAAAATAGTTTGAATTATATTAAATCCGATTTAAACGAACCAAATTATAATCCAGTTGAATTGATAATTTTCACAACTTGATTTCGGTAATCTAGATTTCCAAAAAGCTATATAAATTTAACATTAACAAACGTGTAAATCAACAAATTACTCATTTGACCCATCTTAGTGAACTCAAATAAAAGAATTATAAATAAATAGCTTACCTGTGGATTAAAATTTATAAACAAATGCCTTATAATTTATTTAGTCCTAATAAAGTGAAACATCCATGGGTAGCTTTAAAAATCCATATATCTATTTCTATTTATCTTTTATAAAGGAGAATATCTAAATGAATATGGTTTAAGATAAGTCTCATTCTTGTATCATATTCATTTGAAATCTTCACAATCTTTCACCTTTCAACTTTCAAGTAATTAATGATGATCATTAAAGAGTTTTTTGAACTTATATTTTATAATTACTAAGTAATTTACTGGTAGTTGAATTTTTTTTATTTTACTATAAAAAGGTCCATAGTTACATACAAACAATAATGAGAAAGAAAAATATAGAAATATTTTTGGTTATATAATAACCTTACTTCTATGCTTTTCTCTACTAACATTTCTTTTTTCTTGTCTTAAAATTATTATTTTATAGAGTGTTATTATCATCCATGAATTCCTTGAACTCCATTGGAGATTGTTTCGTCTCTTATAATATTTTTTACTTTGGTTAAAACATTCATACATGATCACCAATATGATCTTGATCCTCACATTCTAATAGTAAATTTTAAAATGACTAAGATGTTATATTGTTTCTCTTCACTTTTAATATTTGTTATCTAAATTTCATGAAATTGGAAAAGAATGCATATGTAGGAGGGTTGCTTCAACTTTACATACTAGAATCGATACCACTAAAGAGGTAGTCGGTCGTTAACTGGTGATAAAAGATCTAACTACCATTTTAATTATTTTGATTCATGCTTTGTAAAATCTATTTTTATATTCCTGTTCACTTTACTTTTTTAGGTACAAAGTACGGAAGGTGGTTCTCGATATACCAACAAAACCAAATGTATGTTTTCCAAAATATGTATTTGAAAAATCAATATCATATTTACTAATCGATATATTAAAACTTTTGATGAAATTTATGTATAATGGAATATTTTATGTGACTTGATTCTGAACTAGATTTGAGCCCCGTATAGTACACGAGTTTATTAAAACAAAAATTTAATATAAAAATGTAAACATTGCGTATTTTTTAAAGTAATGCTTTTACATAAATACATAGGATATACAAAATAAAATGAATGATTCAATAAATAATAAAAAAATATTGACATTTTAAAAATGTATGATATAGTGATTTAAGAGTTAATTCTAGGAGAATTGAAACAAAAAGGAAAGAATGCAGAACACGTATTATGAAATTTAATAGAACGATCTATCTTACATATATAAACCCTTTGTACAATGTGAATTTTAAATTTAAGAAAATAAAAAAAACACAAGAAATAAAAAGTGAAAAAAAAATAATTTGAAAAATCTCAAAAAATGACATGTATCAAATTGAATGAGAACATGACATTTTGCAAAAGTAATTTTCATTTATTAGGTTAGATTTCAATGTTTAATATTTGAAAGCTCATATATAAAACTTAAAATGTTTTTGTGTAATATTTATAGTGTAATATAAAGTCTATCCGGTCAAAATTATTTATCAATAGTTCATTCAAAACAACTTATTTCCTTTTTATCCTAAAAATATAGAAAGGAAATATTAAATAACATTTCAATTGTTATAAAACTTATAATATTTATTAGATAGTATAAAAATAAAAAACTAATGTTTTAAAAAGGTTCGACTATATTAGATAGTATTAAAATATCAATTAATGAACTTTTTTTATTGTTTGTTAATTTGGTTAATGCCCAAAAAGATGAATAAAATATTAAATTTCAACATATTTTAAATTTTTACCCACATTTATTTTATCCACGACATTAGGTCATCCAAATTAATATTATTTAAGAGAAGTCATCTATATTGAATAATATTCATTTAAAACTCCTAACTCCTCAATTTTCCTAATAATTAACCAAAATGTTAATACATTTTATTACAAAAACTCTTCAACTTTCAATTAATCAACCACTGAGGGGGAGACTGTGAACATGATTGGTTTTTGGGGACTGATCACATTCAAAGATTGAGATTTCATATTTTATTCAGAGTTGGTTCCTCTGTATGTTCTTTGATGCTAGAGATTCCATTGCCAGATTCCGAGATCACGACAGCTTCAGCTTTTCCAAGACACTTCAGCACCAGACCTACCGGACCTGCCTGTCGGATATTCTGCCTTTTTATCACTGCTTTACCCTCACCATTTCCGAGCATTTAGGGGGAGATTGTTGGAGCATAAAAATGCTCTACAATGATGAGTGCTTATTAGGTTAGAATATTCCCTTGTATGGAAATCATATTCCCTCCACTAGTATATAAAGTGGAAGTGAGTGGTCTTTTACTTTAAGAATGCGCTTATGTAGACTTTAGAGAGAGTGTGTGTTTGAGTGGGGATTCTCCCAGTCCATGAGTGTTGTTCATGTATTATGTTGTTTCTCTCTATCTATTCATTATAGTTTACTCACATATTATGTTCTTCATTGTTCATACAATTATCTTCTTGATATTATTATTCTGCACCAATCCAATCGACAAAATGGGTTCCTACAACGAGTACAACGCAGACTTATAAGACTTCCCGACAACCTATCAACCTTGTAAATGCTACGGCTGCCAGGTAGTCTTACAACACTTCCATACTGCCATGGACCCACCCTATCGTCTTACTGTCTAACTACCAAGCCAACCATAATAATCATGAGTTGAACCCGCATCCGACTATACCCCAATCAAGTGTTCAGGTCATGCTTCGAACCCCGAAGCCTTCATCAGACAAGAACAGGCAGAGAGACTCTAACACAACCCTAAACCTGGATCCAATCACACGTCAGCCATGTGTTACTACGAATGCGCTAACCTATCGTTGAAAGTTTCTGAACCTCAAACCTTGTGTGACCTCTATCCAGACTGAAACTTGAACTCGCTTCCCTCTCGAATAGGATGTGGAACTCTCCTTGGTTCGGCACCTGATTCTATTCCCGGAAATCCAAACGGTTCTCCCCCGCTTGGATTTAGCTACATGCTGCCAAACTCACTGGAAACAACAAATAATGAATCCCTTGGTGGAACTGACGGATCACCTACCCAACATCCCACTTACCGAAGGATCTATGCAATCTAACCCTCTTCAACCGATACTATTTCAAAATGTCTTTGACACTTCCAATGTCTGAACAAGCACACGCGACCGCCATCATCATCCACTTGCTACCCCTCCTTCCCTAGTAACGGTAGCGGTCGGTGTAACACACCAAAAATCATAACAAATTTAAACTTTTCAAAACAACCCATTACTTAAAAAGTGTTTACAAAATCATTGTTTTTAAAATATTATTTGATTAGGAGTCTCCCAAGATCCATCAACATAATAACCAAGGATGTGTACGGTCACGCCTTCGCCTTGCCAGGGTCCTCAGAAGTACCTGAAACAAAACTAAAATTGTAAGCCAACGCTTAGTGAGTTCCCCCAAGGTACCACCACACAATACACATATCAAATACAAACAAACATGATGGGTCCAATCAGTCATCGGACTAGAATACCCATGGGCCCACAACCATTGGGCTGGATTACCCCTGGCCCAATCAATAATCAGACTAGAATGCCAATATATAACAAGTACACTCAGTCATCGAACTGGAATACCAATACACAGCAGGCCCACTCAGTCATCAGATTGGAATACCCTCGGGTCCACTCAGTCATCGAACGGGAATAACCTCGGTCTGTTGACTCAAGCACATAGTAGTAAAGTCTCAACCCAACATAATATGTTGACATATAATAGATAACAAACATATTCAACAGACAGATAATCTTGCATACAAGATTCACAAGTAGTCCTATAGATCTACTGGTCTACGCATATCAGCATCTATCATATAATTATATAGATCTACCCCATACTCAGCATTTCATCAATCAAGGCATAACAGGATAACAATCCAATTGGGCGGCCTTAGTGCCTTCAACACATAAGTACAGTGAGGAAAACTCACCTCACAGTTTGATGAAAAGCTAAACGATAAACTGCTCCAAATACCGGCTCTACAAGTCACGTATTCAACAGATAGAAACCAAG